TGAGTGAAGTTCCGTTGAATTTCGCCGATGAGTCGAACACACAGCGAATTTGGTCCCTTTTCCTCGGGTGTAACACCCCAAACAATGGCAAGTATCAGCATTCTTCACCTGGAACAAGTGGAGGAGCTAGTTCTGGATGCCCACTATCAAGAAATTCTTCCATGAAGCTATGAAAATGTTCCTTTTTCACTGCATCCCTTTTCAAGCTTGAATCCAAGTTCTTGGCTCGGTAGAGTGCCTGTGATCTGTTATGAGGAAGTTTAGATATTGACGTCCGGAAAGGAAGGGGTGCAATCCAATGGCCATCCTGTCCCTGATAACACTGATCATTCATCAGACTTAAGAAGGTTTTGTCCTCTATCTTCATTCCAGGTCTGTCATCTCCTTCGGTGCGAACGAAGATTGTAGAGCCTAGTGGATATCCAGTGTCCAGAGTAGATGTCTGGTTTGGGGACTCGTGCACATGAATTTTATTGTCACAAGGGGTGCATGCCTTTGGCGTGACGAGTACTACTACAGGTTTGACATTTCACTTCCTTTGGACAGTTACGACTGATGTGTTGTTTTGACCCCAAACATTTAAAGTAAAGTCCATGCTCCGATAACATCTGACGAAGGTCATGGAGAGGTTTTTGTCTAAATTGTCTACAGTCATTAAGTGAGTGACTGGAATTGTGAATAGGACAGCGGGTAGATTGCCCCTCATCTTGAGACACAACTGCTGTTTTGGCAGTAGAAATCTACGTACGCGAGACCGGCCTACTGTGTGTGATAGCCGAGATTTCAGTGTCGAATGAAAACCCTGGGTCATTTATCATCACAGCCAAATTGTTGACAAACTCAACGAAAAAGCTAAATGGTGGGTAGGGCACATTGTGGGACCTTTTGTATGTAGTAGCCCTCTCCCGCCACTTGTTCTGAACATGTTGTGGTAACTTGACAACCACAGGGTTAGCTCCGACTGATGTGTCATAATACGACAGTAGTCTCTCATACTTAGGATCGGTTTTGACCGACAGGATCTCGGAAAGAATGTCACCAAGTTCATATAGCTTTCTTATTTCTTTGAAAGTCACTTTAGGGAAGTTCTGTAGTTTCCGTTTTAGAGAGTCGTCGATAGTCTCAGCTCTACCATATCTCTCTTCTAGTCTGTTCCAAGTAAGCTGTAATCCTTTGCTGTAGTTGACTGTATTTGCATTCCGCATACTTGTAGCATGTCGACTGGACTCAGGACCCAACCATTTTATTAAGAGATCCATCTCTTCTGCAGCATTGACCTTCATATCACCCACGACAGAGTGGAAGGTTGCCTTCCAGCTGAGGAATGATTCAGGTTTGTCGTCAAACTTGGACAGTCTAGATCTGAGTAAGTCTTTCTTCAGCAAAAATTAAGAAAACCCTTCAAAGGATGGTGAAGGACAGATAGCTGGTGTCTCCTGAATCTGATCAATGATTACGATGATTCTGTTTCTCATTGGGATGCGGAATCTGACCTTGACATGTCAGATGACCTTCAGAGTCTTGGTGACCTTGACCTTGATGACCTTGACTGAAACAGTCTGGACTCCGGTGACCTAGGTGCAATTGACCATTCCAGAGAGGAGTGTGGACGTTTAATGTGGAATGTAAAGTCTGACCTTGACATGTTGGATGACCTTCAGAATCTAAATGACCTTGATGAATACTGGAACAGTCTCGACTCCGGTGTGTATGTGTATTTGACCATTCCAGAGAGGAGAGTGGGCATTCAGTGTGAGAGGGACTGGTTTCACTGAATGAAGTTCAAGGTCAGGTTGATTCGACGAATGATCCTGATGACCTTGTCTGTCATGTATGTGAATACTAGATCTAGACTTTACCTCGTCGATTTCCGAAATTTCATTATATATTGCCTGAAGTTCCTTCTTAGCCGAAAGGAGAGTCATACTTGCCTCGATCTCCGCTTTCTTTTTCATCAGTTCAGCTTCTTCTGTCACATAGTTCAATTTCACATGTGCAGCTTGAAGCTTAGCTTTCTGTTTTAACACCATTGAGGTTGTCCTGCTTGATGTTTTTGAATGTGTTCGTGAATGCACAGAAGTTGACTGTGATCGGCAATGTTCAATGTCTTTCTTCAACTGGGCAAGCGCAAATTCACATTTTCCTTTCACTGACCCCTGAATAAGTTGTTGGGATTGTAGTTCTCTAACACTCTCTTCTATATTCTTACGCACAAGAAATCCTGTGAGTTCTGTTGCTTGTTTGTCATATAATGCTATGAGTCTGTGTCTCATGAATGTGAGTTGATCTTTGTTTAATTCATCACTCCTTTAATACACTAAAAGTTCTTTTTCGAGTTCATGGTGAATGTTATTTAACTTTAATGTGTATTTGTGAACTTCTGATTCATATAGAGATGAAGCCTTTTCTGTTAATACATGCACTCTAACACCTGTTTCACTCTGAGTGTCTCTCGTTATTTCCATGTCTGTTGCCCTTAGTGAACTTAGGTTTCCTTGACTCCTCCAGTCCATGATGATACATCAACATATATCTTCAGTGTGGGACACACTTCCGGGTAAACCTTGTACGAGTCCTTTTACTGTTCTGCTTTCAGTGTGGGACACACGCAAATAATTACAACAGACAGCGTAACCTCATTGCCAAGTTTTATTCCGTGAATTGATGAATTAGCGAATTGGTAAAAGGCTACAACATACAAAAAATGTGACCTATTAGATTTAGGTACAAGCACATACGAACAAACTAAATCATATTTGAATTATAAGCAGTACACAGTACTACACACCTGGAATGGACATAAATCCCTGCGAAACCAAGTCACGAATGAAAATATGATCAGTCACCAAATACACACGAGTTTCCAATTAATATATATACTGCATACTATCAACACATTTCAATATATACCAGAAACCCATATCGCAACAGTAAACTTACACTTTGGTTGGCAACAGCTTATAATTGAAGAAAAATGTGAGGGTCTCACTGTGGCAGAAACCATGCCTCTGAAAAAACGTAAAGAAAACAAGATTTCCACAAAGGGATATAACTCTTGTGTAACTCTAAAAGTTCACCTTTCATCACTAAGTTACTAAAGGGGAGTAATACCCCTCAACACTAAGTAACTTTGATTAAATTAATTCATATGAAGTAAATAATTAAAAGATGTGATAAAAATTCAATAATATACTTAGCAATACATATATAGACTCGTTTTGCAGATATTGATCTCACGTTTTAAAAAATGTAATCAATTTGTGCCATACTGCTATTATTTTCACCTGACAGATGCTTACAGGTGAGTTACAGGTAAAATTTTAACTTCTGTCATATAATGAGCTAAACAAAACATTTAAAATCATAATTTGTTGTTAATTTCTTCATTGGTATGTAGAACATGCATTTCTTTTACCATCAGTAAGTTACAGGTTGATTTGGTACATGAATAAGCCAGGTAAATTAACGAGTTTTTTCCAGGTATTCGTCAAAAGAGCAAAGATGTTTTCTACAAACAACTTTCGTAAAATATACGATCTGTTGGAATACAACATCGCTGTAGAATAGTTGAAAATAGTTAACTGGTGCCGCAGAAGTATCCATGATACGTGTTGGGCCGACATGTTCAGTAAAATCACGTAAAACTCTGTCGGTCTCAATTTTTTTTTCACTTTGAAAAGTCTGCCATTACGTAGGCATCACTGGGTAATCAAACCCTTCAAATTCTTCATCGTCGTCAATATCGCCAAAGATATTCCCAAATTGTTGTTCCAATCAAACTCTTTCAGCCATGTTAATGTCTCACAAGTCAAAATTCCCGACGGTATCGACCTCTTCATCGCCAGACAACTCTGAGTCTGATCCAGTGTCCGCCATTTTGCGGCGTTCCAAAATGAAAGTTGAAAATCCGCCAAATAACATGATTTTTTTTCGGAATTCATTCATGCAATCAATGTAAACTCCAGAGACAGCCCTAAAGTAAATCAATTCAGGGTTCCCCTCGATTGACCAATCACGTATGAGCTGTCGCTAATTTTAATTTATCTGAGACCGGAATTTCGGTCTGTAGTGTTGACGGGGTTATGTCCCTTAACCCTTTCACCACGGCAGACCGGAAAACCGGTCTAGGGGACAAAAAATAGATGCATGCATCAAAGATAGACAATAAAACATCACAACAAAAGTTATGGTAATGCACAGTTTCTCGAAAAGGGATCTTTGGAAAGCATAGCGAACATTATTTTAAATGTGTGTCATGATTTTTTTTTAAAAATCACACCGATGGAAATGTCTTTCTGGGAAAGTTCAAATGATGACGTTCCGGAGTAAAGGACTCACACAACTAAATCAGCCAATCAGCAAGTGTTTCATACGTTTGTAGTTCATATCTGAAATAAGTTCCGGCTAATAACTGGGCCACTGAAGGAGTTAAATAAGGAACTGATGACAGATTTTTAGATAAATGAAATGTTCAGGTATTTAACTTTTGAAAAATATATACTTTTGATATATTTCCATGTCTGTGTGCGGATTTGCACAGGGGCAAAATGTCTGGGGGCGTTTCTGTTTTCGGTCACCGGTTTTGCTTGTAAACTTCCGGTTGTCAACTTCTTGGCGCTCTGACACTCCAATATGCCACTAAACCTACCAAAAAAGTCATTTTGTAGCCTTTGCAAGGTATGTATTTATGAATCTAGACAGTTGTCACTAGTCTTGAACTTCAAATATTAAAGTTATTAGCTAAAATGTTTGGTAATAACATATAGTAAATGATTTAGTTGTGTGAGTCCTAAAGTTATCATCGCTTGGCTCTTTTATTATAGTACTTCGATATGCTCCCTAAAGAAAATAATACAAATGTATATAATGAGGGAATCATTCTATAAAATCAGTTAGATTTTTTCTCTATTTATTGTATTAGTATTGTGAAAAACAAAATGTAAAAAGATACTTCTTTTAAAAAACACACCATTGTTTGAAGAAACTAGGATAATGTCTGCTCCCATCGACCTTGACCTCTCATTTGTTGATATATCCATAGCGCCATGGCAAGGTTTCAGAAAGATGAACTAGGTTAAGGTGATCCCACCCCAGGATCTTTGTGGTATGTATCAATTTACTTTTATATAGGCGAGGAAGAAAACATAATATATACTCAATCGATTCGGTTATTATTTTCAAGACGAATTATTCAAACAGCTTAGATTGTTTGTCGATTATTTTTGACAGCTCTTCCCAAATGATTCACCAACCAGCCAATGGCGTCGTTGATGCGAAACAGATGTGCATGCTTGCGTGTATAAATAGGATGTATATGCTTATGTTACCAGACCGAACTGCTATAATATTTTTTTTTGAACGAGGTAAAGCCTGAGAAGAGCGTAGCCTTTGCTCACCTGTGACATAACGTTATCGTCTAGTCATAGGTTTCCGCGCGTTATATTTGCCCGCGCAGCCATTTGATCAAGCTATATCTCGTTACTACGTGACCTGCTGGACACTACACAATGCTATTTTAGATGTTAGTCCATTGTCTGTAAACTAACACAAAAATTCCAGAAGTTCGTCCGGAAAACATAAGAATCAATCAACACGCATAAATATGCAGTTTTGCTTATATTTATAATATACTTTTTATCTTGCTCAAAATTAACCCTTACCTTAAATAACAGTGATATATTTCAAACATGAGCCAGTCTTTTTTTGTAGTCTGACAAACGTACAAAAATGTTGTATGCAAATGAGGCCACGTCTCCTCGCATTTTTTTTTCAACTTCCAAAGAGCGAAGGAGGCATTCTTAAATCGATAAACACTGTTTGCAATGAATCGTTAACCTTGTAATGCAATGAACTGCCAATTTTCACCAATTTTAACAGAATAAAATGAGAAGTAACTTACCATCAACCAAAACTGATATAAGAACAGTTGCACATAAAATTTATATCAGATTCTATTATAACTAAATAAATAAAGTAAATAAATTTATAAATTTAGATGGATTCGTTCGTTTAAAACAAAAAAAATGTGAAATCTTTGAAAATCTGTTTTGATAGTTTATTTTTTATTTGATGATCAAAGACATTTTTTTTATACCAAACGAAGCGTTTGTTCGTGCAGGCCACTATGAGGATTTTTTTTAGTGTATTTGAGTTATCATCCTTTGAACACTAAATAAAAATAGACACACGGAAATATATGATGGCTATATCCGATGGGAAGAGATTTGTTAAAAATTGTTTGTTGTGTTTTTTTTTATTACAGTTTTATGTTGCTAGTTGTTTGTTTCCATAAGTAGATTGATGACAGTCATCCGTAATTACAACAGTTTTCTACCAATACGAGTACGAAATCGCAGCTGCTTCTTAAGTGCTGGGAAACCAACAACACGGGGATATATGATTGATATACTTTACGTATAAGCTTTTGTGTGAAAGATCTTGCTTTTTTAATTTTGTTTTGCACCTATTAGAAATAAGATATAGATTTACAGAGTACAGACAGTACAGCTTAATACTAATACTATCCGTCCGCGCATAATACTAGTCACGATATAGAACTCTCCTGTATGGAGGTCAATAAAAGCAGTCTTGAGTTTACTACCAAACATGGCTGTTGTTCAGTTTCTTCTGAGGTCACAGAAACCCACATACACGACATAACAAGGCGACGAGGACTGGTGAAGACCAAAGAAACTGAAACAGTAATGGTAGATGTCTACAAACTGATCAAAACAAGGTGGTAAGGCCAGTGCATGTCACAGAAAGCGTCCGAGACGTACTTTCGTTTTCAACCACGTGATATCGAGCGGATCCGAAAGGGGCGACTCGAGTATTTTATCATTCGCAATTTAGTCCAAACCAAGTGACAGGACGTATCGGGCGAATAGATACATTAGATCAAGTTAATGAAAACTGGGACTCGTATAGTGAAAGACTAGAACAGTACTTCATCTGTAACGATGTCAAAGCGGAAAAGAAAGTTGCCGCGCTTTTAAGCCTCGTGGGTGGCAATACATACCAACTCTTGAGAGGGCTTACAGCACCTAGAAAACCGTCGGAAGAGACATTTGATCGGTTATTAGCACTATTGAAATCACATTTTAGTCCTAAACCACTAGTTATCGCCGAAAGATTCCGTTTCCATAAGAGGGAACAAAAGGAAGGTGAAAGTATTAGGGACTATTTGGCAGCAATTAGAAAGCTATCAGAATACTGTGAATTTGGTGAAACCTTGAATGACTCTCTCCGCGATCGGTTAGTATGTGGTCTCAGAAGTGAGAATATACAGCGAAAATTATTGTCGGAAGCTACGCTAACATATGAAACCGCAGTAGAGCTGTCAACCGCAATGGAAACTGCGCAACGCGATGCCACTGAACTTCGTGGTAATACAAACACTGTACACAAAATTCATGTAAATAAAGGACAGAAATATCAACACAAGTCTGAAAAATCCCCACAATTCCCTGCAAAGAAAAATAACTCTAACAAGAAATGTTTTCGATGCACAAAAACTGGCCATGACCCAGACAAGTGTTTTTACAAGAATTCAACCTGTCATGCATGTGGTAAGGAAGGCCATATAGTTAAGGCATGTTTCAGCAAGGGAAAGGATGGAGGAAACAGGAAAGTCCATTACATGAAGAATGACAACTCCGATGATGAGTATAATCAGATAGCGTCGTTGTTTATCAATACCGCAAGCACTGGTAAGGCACCGATAACTTTAACACCACACATAAATGGTCATGAACTCAAAATGGAACTAGACACTGGTTCCGCTGTGTCGGTAATCACAGAGAAAACTTTCAAAGACAGTCTACAGGGCAATGTGAGAGACTTAAAAAAAACTAAGGTGTGTTTAAAGACCTACTCAGGTGAGAAATTAGACACCGTGGGAATTGCGATTGTGAAAGTTGACCATAATGGCCAGCAACGCGACCTTGACCTCTTTGTAGTCAAAAAGGGAAGCAACCCTTTATTCGGTCGTGAATGGATTAGGGAAATTACACTGGATTGGGTCGCAATAAAGGCAGTCACAACACATGGAAATGATGACAAAACCCCAGGGTTAAAAGGTAAACTAGATCAGCTACTACAGGATCACAAGTCCGTTTTTCCCGGACGACTGGGGCAAAATGAAGGACATCAAAGCAAAACTTAATCTCAAGCCGGATGCTGTGCCAAAATTTTGTAAGTCCCGACCCGTACCTTACGCAATCCGACCTAAAGTGGAGGCAGAGATCAATCGTTTAGTTGAGGAGAATGTGTTGACCAAAGTAACCTACAGTGAATGGGCGACTCCAATTGTTCCGGTTATTAAGAAAGACGGTTCCGTCCGTATATGTGGCGATTTTAAGGGAACAGTCAACCCGCGACTGGAAGTTGACCAGTACCCGTTACCAAAAACCAGAGATATATTCGCATCACTTGTCGGTGGTCAAAAATTTTCAAAACTAGACTTACAACACGCATACCTTCAAATGGAAGTGTGTGAGGAATCAAAACCGATTTTGACGGTTAACACTGAGAAAGGTCTGTATCAGTTCAACAGACTGGTGTATGGCATTGCATCGGCACCAGCAATTTGGCAACGTGCCATGGATACTGTGCTACAGGGAATCCCTGGAACCCAATGCATCATTGACGACATGTTGATCACAGGAGACTCTGATAAGGAGCACCTAAGAAACCTCAAGGCTGTTCTAGAACGTCTAGACCAGTATGGTTTGCGCCTCAAGAAGGAAAAATGCGAGTTTTTCAAAACAAAGGTCTCATTCTGTGGACATGAGATAGATGCCGAGGGACTACATAAGTCAGAAACGAAAGTAAAAGCGATGAATGAGGCACCAGCGCCCCGGGATGTGTCAGAACTTAGAGCATTTCTTGGGCTCGTAAACTACTACGGAAGATTCATTCCGAATCTGGCAGCTGTCCTGCATCCTCTACACGAACTCTTACAGAAGGACCACAAGTGGCACTGGAGTGAATCGTGTCAGGCAGCATTTGCGGAGGTCAAAGGCCTTGTGACGTCAAAGGAAGTCCTCACGCACTACGACCCAGAGAAACCTGTCAGACTAGCATGCGACGCATCTCCTAAAGGACTGGGAGCTGTACTTTCGCACGTCATGAACGATGGAAGTGAGAGACCTATTGCTTATGCTTCGAGATCGCTCAACAAAGCCGAGCGAAACTATTCACAAATAGACAAAGAAGCATTAGGACTAGTCTGGGGAGTGAAGTACTTCTATAACTACATTTTCGGAAGGAAGTTCACACTGATAACTGACCATAAGCCGTTAGTTTCGATCTTCAAACCCGACAAGAGCATCCCAGGGATGACCGCAGCTCGTATGCAGAGATACGCATTGTTTCTATCAGGTGTACACTATGACATTGAATACAAAAGCACTACAGCACATGGAAACGCTGATTGCTTATCGCGTCTACCGCTAACGACACAAGGAAGTGGAGATGATGAAGATGACGAAAAGGCTCTCCACTCACTGCATGTTTCGCAGTTAGAACACTTACCTGTTACCGAAACTCAGGTTCGACGAGAAACAGCTCGCGATCCGACTATGAGTCGAGTACTCAACGCAGCGCAATATGGCTGGAAAGAATTCCCCGACGAGGAACTGAAAATGAAACCCTACACCAGGAGGAGTTCAGGAATCACATTACATGAAGGATGCCTACTATGGGGCATGAGAGTCATCATACCACCCAAACTACGTGACGACGTTCTACGAGAACTTCATGAGGGACATATTGGGGTGGTACGCATGAAAGCACTAGCTCGAAGCTACGTGTGGTGGCCCGGTATAGATGAGGCTATTGAAAACATTGGCAAAAGTTGTGCAGGTTGCCAGGAGGTGAAATCTGCACCACCTAGAGCACCACTCCATCCATGGGAGTGGCCATCAACACCTTGGGAAAGGATCCATATAGACTTTGCTGGACCGTTTATGGACTCTATGTTCTTGATCGTTGTTGATGCTCATTCGAAATGGCCAGAAGTAGTTCCCATGCGAACTACGACAGCAGAGAAAACAGTAGATGTTCTAAGGAACATATTCGCTAGGAACGGAGTACCGCGCCAAG